GTCTGACATTGGTGGCTAGCCAATCAATCTGTCATGCGCCAGAAGCGTGGTAAATCACTCAGTTCAAAAGATTCACCTCCCCCAAAGTGGAGGAACATGGCACAAACGAATTCGCCCTTCGATCGATGTCTCAATCCTTTCAATCTCATGAGGTTAAATTCGGATTACTCCGAAGACCTGAAGTTCTTGGTCCAGTATACTAGTTTGGATGAGATATGGAATAGAAATGACATTATTATATATGATGTTTCACTTATATGGTAACTATCAACATAAATGAAAAGCGACGATAATGAACCGCATTTCGTTGATTAGTGTCAACTAGAACTGATTGGTTAACTAAAAGAATAAATCCATGATGAATGAAATACTGCAATATGATGACTTATGGCTAATAAGAGCATATTTATACTACTTAGCTATGTTGTTTCCTTGCATTTAGATAGTTAATTACTACTTATTAAAGTCTTGTAAGTTATTTTCATATGTTTTTAGGTCCTAATGGCAAAAGGAGCAAGAAAGTGCATTTTGGAGCTATTTGGAGTAGTTTTGGGCATGGATTGGATATCTTAACTATGGAGCAATGTGGATGGACGAAATTGAAGTCAAGAAGGGCTAGGAAAGGCTACAAATCTAGAGAAAGAAGTCCAAATGCAAAGAAGATAAGGAAAGAGCAAGAAATAAGGAACCTTATCCAACCTTATCTTATCATATCCTAACCAACCTTATCCTTTCCTAATTCTAACATTATCCTATCTTATCCTATCTAAATCAGGTTGTGCCTTAAATCTAGCTATTTAGGAGGGATTAGTTATACATTTAAACACCTATTTCAGATTCTAGAAACCTAATCCATGTGCATGCCGCATATAGGCCATTCCTTGGAGGTTTAGGAGTTGTAATCCCTTTCCTACACCTATGTCGTGAGTCCTTATCCATTTAGGTCTAGAAATCTGCCCTTTATCCTTTCTAGAAGTCTAAATTCTGCCATAAAATACCTAGTTTGTAGAAGCCCTTAATTTCTGGTGAAAATTCCCTATCCCTTTCCCTTTTGGTTTCTGCAAGGACTTAACCCTTTTCCCATTGGATTGTGCAATCCTTTTCCTTCAGAAATTGTGCATAAATTAGCCTATAAATACAACCCTATGCCGCACCATTAAATCCATCCATTCACTCATTCATTCATTCATACTTTCAGCCATCAAACACCACAATTCACCCTACACCACCCTAGTGCCGCAAACAAGGAAGGAAGGAAAAGAAGACTTGTGCAATCTGCCATCCAAGGAGGGTTTGAAATCTGCCATTGGAGTGTGGAGTGTTTCTAGGTGTATTCTATCCTTAGTTTTAGTTCAATGTTTATATTAATTTGGTTTTCAATTATGATGAACATGTGGAACTAATTTTTTTTAGTTAGAGGTGAATTCGAAGTCATGATTATATGTTTTATATGAATTGATTATGTCCAGTTATTGTTTCTTAAGGCATGAATGTGATTTGCTTATCTAAGTTATTAAAACTTGTTTATGTATGTGGGTTGGGGGTCGACACTTAATTTGCATGCATGAATTTGATGCTAGAGTATAAGGGGGTTTCAAGTAATAGTTATTTACTTATATTCGCAAGTAGTGGAGGTTGCTAGTCACAATCGTGTTAAGTAAATCCTTGGTATGAGTCTCATGCGTTTCATAGTGATGAATGCCTTGTCAATGCTTATGATTTTTATAAAACTTAATGACTTTTGATATGTATCTTTATTATGCGTTTCATATAGGGAACTTGAGAAAGATAATTTGGTTGCAATGCATATTCCATCCAATTCAATAAAATAAGGAAAATCTGATGGTTAGTTGTGCGATGCAACTAACTTGGGACGTTGTCATTCAAAGTCTAAAGGAAAAATAATTGGAAATTAGTTTATATGCGTATATCATGTGTGGAGAAGGATCCTCTAACTAGCCTTTCACCCATTTAATTCACTTAAATTCGTTTTTCCAAAGTGTTTTCTACAAAGTTTTTGTTTTAAGTTTTAAATTCGTCAAAAACAATCCCCCTTTCATTTAGTTTTGTTATTTGAATCAAAATCTGTTTTCTTTGAGTCTTTTGAGTCAAGTTAAGTCCTATTTTCGTCCAAATCACTTGTTAGGTCTAGAATTGAGTCTTTTTTATTGTTGGTTGTTGTTTTAAGTGTCTTAAGTTAATTTGGAGTCTATAGAGTCTAGTTTAGTGTTTTTGAGTCTTATTTGTATTGATTAGCATCCCTAGTTAATCCCCGGTCTAGAACGATCCCTACTTACATATCTACTACAATTCTCACAAATAGGGTTTAATTTGTGTGTCAAGTTAATTTCCACATCAATGGCGCAAGGCTTTTCTTATATGTCATGTGATTGATTGCAGCATTACAAATGTGGTTATAGTATCTCTGGGATCCTAATACAAAACCTACATGGAGTTTCTAAAGGACTTACATGTACTGATCCAAATAGTTCTAGACCACAAGAGCACCCTCTCAGTTCTGATGAGGCCTTTACTTTGCATATGCAGAATATCCGAGAGGATGTGGTATACCCGTCTAAGTGAATATTTGATCAGTTAGGGATATATGCGCCTACATGTACAAAATCCGAAATTGCTAGAGTTGAGAAAGTTTACTCGCACCTAAAGTCGGACTTTAAGATGAATAATCTCAGAAAAACTTGACATTACCTTGACCTGAAGTTTTGAGCTAATTTTAATGGTATTTTGGTCCACTAGTCGAACTAGTCTCAGAAGGTGTTACATTCGAGTGTATCATGATTGTTTGTACGCTAGATGAAAATAAGACCTTTACAGAGGTTATGAAGCATAAGGTTCCATATTGGAACGTGAGGCAACCATATCTGAGTACAATCGGCATTTGTTGTACTTAGCTCAATGCACTAAATTAGATATCTTATGTGCTAATAACCATTTGGCATAAGGCAGCACTGCGCCTACACGCCACCACCAAATTTGGTGTTAAAGACTTTTTTCCGTTACTACGGATTTGGGCTTATCTATCCCCATACATCTCAGAATAGATCACACCCCCTTGATCTTCAAAATGACACCTACCTTATGGGATTCGCAGAATCAGACTATCTATCTGACTGTACAAGGTACGTTCCCGAATGGTTATATCTTTACCATTAAGGAACACCGCAGTATCTTGGAGGTCTATGATATAGACCTTTAATTGCGAAATCTTTGAAGCGTTCCAAGACTCACTATATCTCATCACGTGAAAGATATGGTCGAGAACTCTTGTTGAGCAAATTCGAAGTCCCTACAATTTTCATCTATTGTTAAGTCCCGATAACGATCCATGAAGACAACGCCGTATTTATCAACTAGATCATGATACATCCAACAAAGTCAACACCAAGCAGTCCGATCCCAGACAACCTTGCTGACCTCTACACGACTGTCACTGCCGAAGTCTACCTTCCAGAAGTTTGTCTAAGGAATTGGTATGCATAACTTTCTCATTTGCGATACTTGTAGTTTCATTTGGAAGTATTGTCAAACTTAGGGGTAGTATCTAGAAGTATACTCACTTGACCTTCATGTACTCTTTTTCCCTACGCTTAGGAGCATTTTTCCCACTGGGTTTTTGCTACCTGACTAGGTTTTGACGAGAGACTCATACTGGGTTGGTCATACCCTTATGTACGTTCTACTTACGTCCCAAAGACGTATAGTTTTGACTTAATGCAACTTCTCACTTTTCTCCTTTAGTTATGGGCTTTTGTCCCACCTTGGGTTTTGCCATAGCAAGCTTTTGTGAATTTTACTACCCATGCATTCTTTCATTTTGAGACTCAGATTCGATACTTATGCCGACTAGACGAGACGACTTCATCAATTGCTTCTACATTTGCCTGATGATCTGATGCACCATCTACTTGAGTATTTGCACACTTAAGGGGGAGTGTTGTGACATATGTTCTAATACATAATGTGATTGTGTAAATCCTAAGTAGAGATAGATTAGGAATCCTTTGGGATGTAGAAGATCTTTCCTAATAAACTTTGTATTACTTTGAGTACAAGTTTCTCTCCTCCTTAATACTATAAATAAAGGTACTAGGACTGGGGAATTAATACACAATTCCTCAGGCCTATTCTCCATCTCTCTCTACCATTTACCGCACCCTCAATTAAATATAGGCCACAACATGAAATGAATTATTATTGTTAGACATCGGAGATTTGACAAAAATAAAATTACGATTTAGATACAAATAAATGTGGGAGGATCGACAAAACAAATTACAATTTCTTTACAGACAATTAGGCTGAAAATAATGTTAGTGTGGGATCGCTTTAATAATTATTGTACGGTAAGGGTTTGCATTATATTTGCCCAGTTGGCTCTACGTATTCATGCGTATGGCATATATGAAGTTGAACTGAAAATAAAAAATAAAAATAAAAAAAAAATATATATATATATAGTTAGGTGAGTTGTTTGACTGTGTTTGCATGATAATTCTTTCAAGAATGAACATATTTTAGTTTTAAATTATTATAGATGGTGGAGCCATTTAATACTACGGTTTAGTAGTATTACTCTTCACTTGTAAGTGAGAGGTCTTAGGTTTGATTATTGCTAAAGGCAAATTTGAACCACATTATTGCTAGCCGATTGTGAGGCTAAGCCTACCCCCTCCCTTTTAGTGTAGATAATATCGGTTGTTCAAAAAAAAAAAATTATTACAGATGGTGGATAAGGTAGAAGAGGAAGCTAAAAATGGTGGAGGTCATGGGAAAGAAGATGAGACCAAGAACGAAACAGATGAAAGAAGTGGAAGTGGAAGTTGAAAGGTCCCCATCCCCAATGCCTCGCCCACTTCCTCTTTGTTTTCTAAATAATACAAGTAAAAATAAAAAAAATACTTTTTTCAACAAAAAAAAAAAAATATCCTTTTTTTCCTTGTTAAGGAATGAAATTGAAAGCTATACGTACAATTTGCTGGTTTACAAAAATTTAATTTAATTAAGACCCGTCATCACCATCTTTAATCAAATTGCAAATATCTGAACACTCCACCAAACTGCAAAATATCCAATTTCACAAAGCATTAGAAATATGATGGAGTATTTGCGGACACATACAGATCTTAGATCAAATACAAGAACATACAATATGTACCATATTGCCGGCTTCTAAATCCTTGCTGGAGAACAACTATAGGCCTGCAGCATCACAAAAACTTCAAACACCAAATGGTAGGGCATACGATTTAAGAAAGGCAGGAAAAATAAACACATATATAGCTGATCGATCAAGAAAGTAATATACTCCAACTCCAGTCACTCCTCCTTACAGTCAAGTCGCAATTTCATACGTGTACAAAAAATTTATTTCTGTGAGTTTAGTATTATGCGCGCATAGTTTGTCAGATTGCGATTTTCATGTAAGGTGGAATGACTTCTTAATTAAGGCCAAGCATTGCCTATAAAGAAACATAATTTAAAAAATAAAATATTTGTACCTCCTGACATTGAAGGGACCTTCACCAGGCGAGCCATCACCACCTCTAATGCAGGTGGTGACACACTTGATCGTGCAAGACTCTGCCTTTCTCGACTTTGGTCTTTGAATCCTTGGTTTCTTGCAATCCTTGCGCAAAGCACACCCCCAGATAGTGTCTGGGGAATATTTTCTAGATTCTCAGATTGCTCAGGAGACTCAACGGCTCCGGCCGAGGCTATGATAATTGCAGCAGCTGCAAGAAACCCTGCAGTTGTTAGGATGATGCATCTGCTTCCGCTTCCGACTCTGCTTCTGCAGCTGCTGCTGCTGCTGCTGCTGGTGGAGGCTTGGGAAGTGCTTCTGATGGTGATACCATTGGCATTGTTAATCTTGTGTGTGATGCTGATTTTTTCAAGGTGTAATGGGATTTTATTGAGAAGCAATGGAGAAGTTGGGGCATAACAAATTAGCATGTTCTTGTATAATTCTGAAAGTAGTATTTCTTTATAGGGTTGGATGGATTCTCAGATTTTCTTATCCGTTCATCATGTGTCTGTGAATCTGTGATATGGGGTCCTTGGCCAAGAGTTGCCTTCCTCTGCTGGCTTGACGCGTCACCTATGCTAACCTCCAGATATATGCATATGTGGGTAAATTCTTGGATGTAACCGGAGAACATATATTTTTGTAATCATGACCTAGTCACGTGCGACAGATAGAGAGATGTTTGTTTTGGATTGTCCACCATGTGAGAAACTTGCACCGACTCACTGGCTCATTCGGGGTGTTTTGATTTTGGGATCAATTACCATTGAAATTTATCGTCTTCCACGTAAACCCTAAACACACTTAAACCTTGTATTTCCATTTTTCAGGTATAAGGGCGTTTCAAATCCAGTCTTTAGAACACAATTTTTATTTTGCATTGAAAGAAGGGTATCAAGAAGTTGCGCCTGTGTAAGTCAGAAACTGAGCTTGGTAATTAAGCATGTAATTGTAGTGCTTGTTATATACACTTTCGACCCGATTCATGGCAACGAACAATTTAAACCCATCTGGTCATCTACACATGAATTTACAGCACGAAAATGTTGACATGCGATCGTGTATCTGGGTTGCGAAGATAAAATGACAGGCTCTATATGCAGCTGTACAAATGTACTCTTATCTTATGAACATTAGATCATCCGTGCTCCGCGTGATAAGGTATTCTTCTCTAGAGCGGATAGCGCCGGTGTCAGATAGTTATTGGCTTTGTCAGGCTAATGCGCCACCTGTAGAGAGAATTCGGAGAATCAAGGTGGTTACAAGTGTATATTTGTGATACATATTTGTTTTTGATATACACAATCTGTTGAGAATGAGTCCCACATTGATGAGAGGAGGGACCTTGCACAGGCTTATAAGAGGTTGGGCTACTCCCCATATTGCCAATTGGTTTTATGGGTGAACCCCAACTTTCTTCAGAATCTAATGAATTGACTTTACTTGGTACTTACCAGCTCGTAAAGTTCCTTTCCTTGATCGGCAATGCATTCATAACATACCTGGAAAATTTCAATATCTGCCTAGCATTATGTCAGTTGAGAGTAATATGGTAACAGCAAAAAGATTTCACCCACATCAAAGCTTTTGTGCCTTGTAGTCGAATCATGCAACGCCTTCACGCAGATATCAGCCACATCAGCACAGCTGATCCCCTGATTCACAGATGCAACTTTAAGTTAGATGTTCAATGATGTCACATAGAAACCAAAAGATAAATCCCTGCTTTCGTCTAGTGAAAAGGGATTGAGATGATTTCAATTGGTAGTTGTAGCAAAACTTTTTATAAGACGATCATTCTAACCTGAGAAATCCTGTTTCCTTGTTCAAATACGAGCGCATTGTCCACCTGGTTCTTCCTGTATAAACCAAACCGGATCTCATCAGATAGAGGGAAAACCAAATCCCCACTTAAGTAAAAAGTCGTTAATTTTAGAGTAGGCACTCCACCTTCAGGGGACCAGGCACGAACGATTGTGTATCCAAGCCCTGATTTTCGCAATGACTCTTCCCCAGCCTGGAGAAATTTCAACAGTACAAGAATTAGCTAAGTTACAAATGAAAAAAGGGAACCTGTTCGCAGAGTGACAGAGAGAAAGAGAGCTAACCCTCTTGGCTTTAAGAACCTGCTCCCTTCTATTAGGTTATACTCCTGATCCCGTACATGAAACTAATATGAAGTCCGTTTCTTGCCCAGTCTGCAGAAGGTTCCATTATCACATTCATTTAAGACAAAATACTATGCAATCCTAGTCTCTGTATAAAACTCATACACATACACATGATCGTTACTCTACATATGTCAACACTAACTAAACCATCCATTCCATCTCACTAACCACACTTAATAGTACATAGCTTGTCGATGCGAAAATCTAGAGCACGTCAGTATTATTTTTAAGCAAGCAATTGATGTAAAAGGATTTACACAAACAGTTATTTAACTTCAAGGTCAGAATGGTAGTTGTTAATAAAATGATTCACTTCGAAAATTTCTTCTGACTGTCAGAAAATGGGTTCATTGGAAGAACGATCAGCTTTGAAAGGGTTTGACTTTTGGTTTATAACTCATTGATCAAAACATTGGCTCTCATAGTAGATATGTGAAAACGGGATACCACTAGCAAGAATCACAAGCATACTCAAGAGACTATGAGTTCTATGTAGATATTCACTCTGTTAGGGTTAAAGCCTGAAAGCATTGAGCAAATTTTTCAGCATTGAGACTTTCAAGTGAAAACTGCATACATTTTTGGAAAAGACGTGTATGCGAGTCTACCTGGTTGTCAAGAGTGAATAATAGAAATTCTTGGTAACTCAACAACATAACCAAAAATAACTAGAAATATAGAACATAACTGATATAACAATCAGCACAACTCAAATTAAAGACTTACTGGCAAAGCTTTATGTATTCTAGTATAAGTGTAAAGCCTCTTGGGTCTTGCTGCTTCACTCCTGTGCGGACTTCAACTGCCTTCTGTGCGAAGAAATAATAAGTAGATTCAGCAAAGATGCAAAGAAATGTATTTCATCAAAATAACAGAAAAAAAATAATTTATATTGTTTTTGGATTTGAAGAAAACATATGAAACAGATTCACCAACTTATCTCACACACACAGAAAGCAGAAAATGTACAAACCTGTCTTCTGGGCTCAAAATGTATGGTTAATGTATGTACAAGGAATGGGTCTAGTGGTGGATCATCTGGTTTCACTGGGCGGAATGATGAAAACGGTACTCTGACCTGCCAATTACAGAGTAATAGAATTAGGGACAGCAAATATTGCAACCATTCCATAAAAGAATCACAGAGGAGAAAAGAGATCCTTACCCTACAATATCCTGCTTTTGTGTTGAATCTAGAAAAATATAATTTACTTTGAGATGTATCCGCTGAAGGACCAGCTTCAAGAATTAATATGTAAGATCTTCCATTCCCACCAATAGAAAGAACTAGACCTTCATACCTGTACATTGAAAATATAGATTACAAAAATTGATAAGCCTTCGCAGTTTAGGCGATGGATGTTCCGATAAAAAAAAAATCTATCATAGCCAGGTCTTAAAAAGCTCCATTTGAGAATGCAAATATGGCATACCTGTCGAGGGTCCGACCCAAGAAAGTGAAAGCTTTTTTGACAGTTCAACATACCCTCCTCTGATGAAAACATATCCTACAATGCAGCAAGAAATAGAGTAAAAGGAACAATAATTGGTTTCCATTTAGAATCTCAAAACCCCACTTTAGTCTTTCTCTTACCGGAGAAAACAGCATCGCCGGTGAAAGTGAATTCGAACTTGGCATCCATTCCTCCATCATACTTAGAAGCAACCACATCCTGAAAGTAAGTCCCCTAACGAACTTCCCATCCATCCACTGACTCCGGAGTCTTGAACTTTACAATAGTAAGTTTGCTCTTGCTGCTCTTTCCTGCTCGTAATTGCGCGATTTTGTTGTTATAGTCCTGCAATGCAAACAGTCAAAAGCTTCACTCGGACGGCAAAATTTAAATCCAACATTGAACCAGCCCATGGACTTAAAGACATCGAAACCAAAACAGATTACTAAATGTCAAAAGGAGCATTTGAAGGATATGGCAATAAGGATCACACCTGAAATGCATTAGTAAGATTGTAGACCCCTCTTTGATCAACCCTATAGAGGTCTACCGCTGATAGTAGAGCGTGCAGTAGCACAATAGATAATCTTGTTATAGCCCTGTACCGCAGCGTAAAGGGTAGCAGGATCACCCACATCCCCAGTTACAATCTCCACCGATCTTGGCAACAACTCCACCACTTCCTGATCAGCATTCCTTACCAGTGCCTAATTCACCATCACACAACACATTCCACACAAAATAAAACCCAAATCGCTTGTAGCTCAGCTGGTAAGAGCGTTAAACCCTTTAACCGAAGTTCCGAGTTTGATTCCCCTTCCCCAATATAACTATCAAAACATAACAAAACCCGAAAACTCCAAAACCAAATAAACAAACCCTAAAAGGTCGAGAATTTCAAAAAATTGGATACAAATGAACACCTTTACAGTGTAGCCTCTGACCATGAGCTTGCGGACGACTATCCGGCCGATAATCGAGGTGGCGCCGACGACCAAGACGGTGGTGTTCTGGTCGCCGGGATACGAACTCGCACATGGTGAAGAGAAAGTTACTACAGTAAATTGTAGTGATAATAACCACAAGTCAAATGTTAGTTAGGTTGTTACTCAGTTTGTTAGGAAAGTTACCTTTGTATGGTTTTTACTTTTACCTCTTTTACTTTTTAAAGTGTAAGTATAAATACCCTCATGTAACTTATCATTATTCAATCAATGAAATATCAGCATTCTCAATATGGTACCCATCACCTAAGTCCACCGATCTTCGATCCTGTTTTCCTAAAAAATACTTTCCAGCTTTCTCACCAACCAAACAGTACACCTTCCGCTTTAATCTTGTTCATCCATGGCAACAAATTCGTCGAATTCTTCCTCTCCAACGACTGCAAACCCTGCTCCTTCGCCGGTGTTTGCGAATCCCTCTTCTCAGCTGCATAATAATACATCTTCTCCGATGAACACAAACCCTAATTTCTCTTTTCAAGCGTCAGTTTACTCCTTCTTCATCCAAAACATTGGTAGTATAGTTCAGACGAAGCTTAAACGTCACAACTACCTTGTTTGGAGCTCTCTATTCAATCTGATTTTTCGCCATTACAAAGTC